TGAATGTTGAGATAAAAATTGAAGTCTAAGTTAAGATGAATGTGGATGCCAATGTTGAAGTAAATATTAAGGTAAACATTGACCTTAACATTGATCTTAACATTGACTTCAACATTGACCTCAACGTTGACCTCAACATTAACCTCAATGTTGGCCTCAATGTTTACCTCAACTAGTGTTTCAAATCATTAGTTAAAAAATTAACTAGTTGCCAACTTTCCAACTAGTTGATTTGAATTAATAATTCAACTAGTACAATTCTGAGAAATTCTATTTAGTTGAGCAGATCTGAATTAATTTCTTTGGTTTGATTGGCTAATCATTTGATGATGCCATGTGATGTAAACAATTGATTAGTTGTAACTATAATTGGCAACTAATTGATTGGTAAAATATTTACCAACTCAGAATACTAATCTCAATATTAACCTTAATATTGACTTCAATATTGATGTTAATGTTAACCTCAATCTTCATCTTAATGTTGATCTAAATATTGACTTCAACATTGAGATTAATGTTAAGGTCAATATTAGGATTAACATTAAAGTTAATGTTAAAGTAAATATTGACATCAATGTTAGCTTCAATATTAATTGTATTTCACAGAATTTAGTGAAGTAGCTAAGTACTATGCCAGAAAATCTTTGTAGGTGATCTATAGAGGTTGTTGTATTTTAGTGATTTAGTGTTTTAGTAGTTAGTATTTTAATGTTTTAGAAAATTTGTCTCAAAAATAGTATTTATAATAGGCTAATAATGGATGCATCATATATAATTACTATATAATATATTTTGTTTTATTAGTTTGTGGTACAGATTTAAAAAATTGTCATACAAGCTACTCAGACTATATTTCTGTATTTTGGGATTATTAATTTTATATTAATAATTTGGAATCCAAAAAAAAATTATAAAACATTTATAAAAACTTTTCAGATCTCAGATATAAAAATATAGCCTATGTTAGGTTTAGGTCGCAGATAACTCCAATTTAAGCTCTATTTGAGTCTCTAGTCTTAGTATCCTTTGGATATAAAGTTCAAATAATGTAATTTCTTTTTTGTAAAGAAGTTTAATTGAATTTTAATAAAGATAGAGGCATGGCCTCACCTTTGAAGATTAAAAAAAAAAAAGATATAGCCTATGTAGCTTGTATATTATGTCATCAACAATTTTTTTAATGCTTGATTTAAAAATCTGCACCACAAACCAGCACACATCACTCAACTTAGATATGTATTAATATATCAAAGCAAAATGCATTATATAATAATTATTAAAAATAATTATTATAATGCATCTGTTATTAGCCTATTATAACTACCATTTTTGAGACAAATTTCCTAAAATATTAAACATTAAGATACTAAACCGCTAAAACATTAAAATGCTAAAACACTAAAATACTAAAACACAGAATTAAAGAATTTATTGCTAAATAATTTTCTTTTATATAAATAATTTTTATTTCTATAATACTAAAACACTAAAACATTAAAGCATTAAAATATTAAAACACTAAAAAACACTAAAACACAAATTATGTCACTTTGGATACATATATATATACAGTATAAAATGGTAAATTAGTGTGGCTGTATTGAAAAATTTACTAGACTAATATTTAATAGTTTAATACTTTAAAAATACTAATAATATCTAAGATTTTTATGTGCCTCTAGCTTATCTGTTTGCTTGATCTGGATAATCAAACCATTAACTGGTTTGGATGGTGGTCTATTTCCCACATATCTTTGCTTAGCATACTTTTCAATCTGTTGACCTTCCATCAACTCGAATTAATCATAATCATTTGAATAAGATAGTGAACATTAATTACATCAGACTTAAATTTGTTAGTTAGAAATTTCTCTAAATCTAACAAAGTGAAAATTGTTTTTTGAATGTTAATGGTAAGACCATGTCTCTTTCTTTATTGAAATTTAATTCGATTCTCTTACAATGAAAAGAATACATTTAAACTCCATATTCTAAGATAACAAGAAAAAAAACTCAAACTAGTTTATCTGTGGCCTAAACCAAACAAAGTGAAAATTGTTTATCTCTGCTTGTAACAATGATAATAGGAAATTGGTATATAAAAGAATAAATGAGAACTCAAAAATTTGCAGATGTGGGCAATAGCTTTAAAATAAGCCAAAATTCTAAAATTATATGCCCAAATACTAATAAGATGATGATTGTTATGATAGAAATAGATAAATGTATAGTGATCACTTCTTATAAAATCTATCTTTTCTCTATTTATTTTTTTAATTAATGATTAATATAAACAAACTGCAATATAATTACATCAAGCTATAATGTTACTAGTCTGAATTTCTTACCTGATAATTGTTCTTTATTCATAATTAAAAAAATAAAATAAAATAAAAAATAAAAAATAAAAAATAAAATAAAATCAAAAAATAAAACAATTATATATCACAGTAAAGATCAGTATTCTTTATACTATGTTTAGAGCATGTTCAGAAGTGATTGTATCAGAACTGATGGATTGGATGTGCCTGTAGGAACTGATGGCTTAGAATAGTATCATGAGTGTAACGGTATATTAATTAGATTAGTAAATAATCATGCAAGCATAGTTTATTAGTAATATGTGTATAATCGCACATAAGAAATATATAATTAATTTGTAGTTTATACCAGGAATGGAGTTTTCCATAAGTGAAAACGGAGAGCATGGTTTACCAAAATGTTCAGGGGTGTGCGTCCACAAAATCTTGCATTTGGTTGGTTGCCACTGTTGGCTATGATTTCTAAATGTGTAAACTCAGATAATTTCAAGTTTGCTCAGCCATTTAAAGTGTTACCACTGCGACTAAATAGTGGTAAATTTTAGTGGCTTATCTGCTTGTGTGCCAAAATTTTTGCATAGTGTTATGAAAAGTTTGATCAGCGTAAGCGTAGCCAATGTCACATTTTGCGCAATCATTTGTTAATTAGTGATTGATGTTTCTATTTGCATTAACGTTGATTATACCATGAAATGTGCATGGCATAATCTGCGCATATTTATTCTGATGATGATCGGGTTCCAAAGTTTAATGACGATTGTTAATCAGAATATGCTTGTATAAGCCGCAACCGCCATCGAAAGGTGTGTTCGAATATATTGTGCGCTAATGTTTTATCGTAGTATGATTTTCGGAAATCAGATTTGGATGGTCTGGACTAACGGCTTGTAATTGATTAATCGTTGTTGTAATTGATTAAAAACGTTTTTTTATTGAATGAATATAATCATTACTATTTGCTACATTATTGGGCTAATTAAAATTCTCATAATTATATTTGTTTGTTGGACGCATTCCAGCGCTAATATAACTCGAAATATCTATCGTTATGCTAGTATATGACAAGCCAGAACCACTGGGAACATTCGCATGCAACTTAATATACCACAGATTTCAACTATACTAGGATGTAAATTTGGATCATTATTCCAAGCTTCGCAATAAATAATCATAAATTCAATCAGTGTCCATTTAATAGATGTTACTCGTTTTTCTTAACTACTTGCAAAGTTATTTCTGAATTAGACTTATTCTAAAAGGAAGGGAAGCCACTTGATAACTCCCAGAAAAGTACATCAAGACTATAACTATCAGAAGCTTAATCCCTTTTATATGAAGGGTCTTCAAGATATTTTGGATCAGAAAAAGCACAGGTTCCACCAAAAATAGATTTGGAGTTATTCTCTAATGATTTAGTTATGCCAAAATTCGTAATCATTAATTTACCATCGTGCACTAATATATTGAAGGTCGCTATTGTTAGCGAATTCAAGAACCATATAGTATTTTCAGTGTTCGGTTCTTGTGTGATTCAAGAGAATTGTACTATATTATTATGATGTGCAACCCTTGAAAGATTTTTAATTTATTTGATAAACATATCTCGCAAAATATCATCACAATCTAGACTTTTTAAAGCTATAATTTCAACAACTCTTGAAAAAGTACTCTATACAGTGCCAACCCTCCTCTATCAATCCTTTTTCAAACCTGAAAAGAATTATACTAAATGATTTTATGTAGCTTTGTTCAATAGCAATTTTAACCCATTCTAACATGTTTGGTATATCGCATATCAGCTCTTGTATTCTGATACAAACTTGCTTTGCCACTTGAAGGGCTGCTGTTGTACTGCCATTCCTCCGTTTTATATCTGTTATTGTCATACTTTCCTGCTAAATTTGGTTATATTAGTATTCACGCCGTACTTCCTGAATTGATAATTTCATTAAATTTTTACTTATCTTCTCCTTGCATATACAGAAATCTCTTGCCAGAACCAGAATCACCCATGTGATCGTCGCTTGCTAATGCATCACTGCTTAGCCATCATTTCGATCTGTTGACCTTGAATTTTAAACCATTCCGCCATCCCTGCTAAACTTCGCAATGTTGCTAAATAAAGTTCATCATCTTTTTTAGCTATTATTTACTACAAGATACATATAGTATATACAGATATATGATTGCAAATACTAATATATCTATTCTTACTAAGAGTGTGACAGATAAATAAGCTGATATGCTTAAATCATTCTCCTTTCTCATACAGCATTTAGTATTTAAATATTGTCATATATTAATCTTATCAAAATATTTAAGGTATGCACTACTTTTCTCACTCATATTAATCATTTTTATTCAATCACTTATTTAGTAATCTAAGTATTTAACTTGTTTATTTTAATGTTTTTTCTTAATCGTGTCTATAGTATTCTCAACTATTTTATATGATAAATCATATATAAAATTTTAACTAAAAATAAATCTTCTAAATAATATGAAAAAACACTAATCTTCTTTATTCTACATAGTAATACAATAACTAAAATGTGATGAACATCAATGAATAACCCAATTTAACATGCATATATAGACTTATACCTATTTAGAAATATTCACACTTATTTATACTTCAGTTATATAAAATATCACAAAAAAAAAACTTATACACCCTTACTCGCTTTTATTATCAACATCTATCTTAAAACTAGATGACCTGGTGTTGTGAACTACTTTACAAATAGCTTGCTTTTTACCTTTCTTATTACTACTCTTAAGCTTTTCTTTACTTTCACTAATTTTCTTATTCCCATCCTTATTATCTTGTTTAATTTCAGTCAAATTATTATTCATCTCATTACTTACTGACTCATCATCAATACTCAACTATCAGCATCATCACCTATTAATACGTCTTTACTAATTTCATTTACATTTTCGATCTTAATACACTATAACATATAAAATTATTTAATTATAAAATGAATAACTAAAAATTAGTTAAATATCAAACATGAACCTTAAATGTTTCTTCAGACCCTTTACTAATATTTTGATAAATTGACAGAAGTTTAGACTGAGTTGACTTTGTTGATGATAAAATTTTTACTTTATAAATTTCATATTTTCTTTTCTTAATATTAAAACAAGTATCTATCTAATTAATATATTATACATAAACATAAATATCATTGTCTATAAACTCTAACTGTCTAACAACAAAAACCACTATTTTACTTGAATAAATATGACTTGTTAGTCCTTTAAAACATGATTCTAAATACTGAAATATAATAATAACTATAAAATTGTAATTTAGACAAGAATAATCTGTTACTATAACTTTGATAATTGCATTTTTTTTATGTTTAAAATCAGATACCTCTTGAACAATTCCAACTAATGAAACTTTCAATGGACATTTATTTGATTTAACAAATTTACTGAGAATCTTAAGATGTGTAGAAGTCAAAACTGTCATCTAAAAAAATAAACTTAATACAATCAAATAAAACTAAAATTTTTGATACTCAACAATTTAATTTCATAATATTATTAATAAATCGAACACATAAAAAAATAAAATTTTAGACTTTTTAATCTATTATTTATTAATTATTAACTTCAATCTAATATCATATATATCTCACTAATTAAAATTTCAAAAACTAAACTTAAAAAACCACAAATCTAATTTTTTGATTTTTATAACATGAAATTTTTAAACAAATCTGACTAGCCCTCCTTTTTTTTTATAAAAAAACCTACCCTGTTATTAAAATACATAAAAAATTACTTTACAAGTTTTCATATCTTACTTTGTCAGTTATGAAAATCAATTAATTAATTTTGCATTGTCTAATATATGTTTTAACACCTAATTTCATGTATCCTTATAAAAAATACCCATCTTCATTATAAATAATTATCAACTATTATATTTAAAATAAGTATATTCTTGATAGAAATATGCAAAATTAGTTACAGTAATAAAATTAAATCCTGAAATCTTATTTCTTTTTAACAACAATTATATATTATACTAATCAAATAAATAAATAAAACTAAAATTATCCTTGGCCTTATACTATTATTATAACGATCAGATACAATTTTACCTCTGATAAAAAAAATCATTCTTTTGAAAAATCGTTTCGAATCAGAATCTTTCTCTTCAAAATTTACTAGCACAAATAAAATTAACTCAATTCACTATCTTCATCTCCAATAAGATAAAAACTAATAGCCTATATTACTAATAGATTATCTTTTCAGTTTCTCTAACAACTTTGATTTTGACAATCATATTTGAATTACAAGACATAGCTCAATAACTTTATTTAAAAAATAAAATGTTACAAAATGTCTACTTTTTTTGAAGAATTTATATTTAATTTTTATATCAAACTTTTAAATGATAATATGCTTATCAACAAAATTATAAACACAAGTGGCCTATATAAAACACACCACATAAAAATTTGTTTTTACTTATACATATATATTTACAATACATGTATGTAAATAACTATACATTACATTTATCAAAATTTTGCATTTTATTAAGAAATCATATAAATATTTTTATTTGACAATCTCTTATAATCATGAATTTATTTCTTTCTATTATTTTTTTCATATGTTACAAAATATTCATGTTTACTCAAATAAAACCTCAGAGACAGCTCCCTGCCAATCATGATCATAAATTGTCAATAACACTATTATTCAGCAAATTTTTGAATAATAATAATTTGTTCATTTAGACAAATAATTGGCTGACATGTGCTACTTTTCAGCACATATTTATTTGCTTATTTGAATCTACTGTTATTCAAAATTTCTTAATAAATAATGTGTATATATTTCAATCAAATAATATACATACTAAAATAACAAAATTTGAACTATGCTTATCTCATTTTATATTACATCTATATCGACTTTACTAACTCATCTCTTAACTTGTATTATTATATTTAAAATATTATGCCTTTTTATTACATCTACAATTTACAATTTATAAAATAAACAATTCACAAAACACAAAACAATTGGCAAAGCTCAATAGATTATACAAACATATGTTATACAATAAGTAAACAGTTATCTAATATTGAATATATATCAATGTAGCTTATTACTATGCCAATAATCTAATATATTTAAGTAATTTCTTGTTTCTGGTTTTAGTGCAACTGTATTGCACAGCTACCTTATGAATTATTAGTGATTTTTAGCAAAATGGTTTGTTTTGAATTTTCTGATTCTGCTACATTACACCTAATCTTACAATATTATTAGACAAAAAAGTTATTTATTCTAGACACCCTAGGCATCTACAAAATATCTTATCCAAAATCATTGTAAAAAAGTTATTATTATGTGAAATGAGTAACATATCTGATTGGGCAATCTTTTGTTTTGATGATAATCGTTTATCTGTTATGTATGTTTTTTATATTTTTTAAAATTCAATACTGGGCTTAGACCTGAAACATAGTAGATATTTCTTTGTATAGTCTTGGTTCTTTTTTTCAAGTAAACTAATACTTTTTTTTTTATACAGGCTTTATTTGTCTTTGAATTTAGAAATCTGAAATAAAACTATAGTAGGTGTTATTTATAGGTTTAATTTTTTTCTTTTAAATGAAACTAACACTTCCTGTATAGATCATACTTTGTCAATTTAACTTTAATAGGTTTTACTTTGTTAGCTCTTGCTTTGCTTAGTTTTTAGTTTGTTAGATCTTGTTTGTTGGGTCTTGTTTTGTTAGGTTTACTTTGCTGGGTCTTGTTTTGTCAGGTATTATATTTTGTTTAATCTTGTATCTTTAAGTCTTTGTTAGATATTATATTTTTTGAATATTGTATTGTGTTAAGTTTTATGTTTTTTACTGGTTAAGAGGTTAGGTTATATTAAATAGCAAATAACAAAATTTAATAAAAAATATCTAGAACAAATAATATTTAATACAATATATTTAATTTTAATAAATCTGCACAAATATTAGATGTTTATATAAACAATTAATTTAATATATAAATATTTAAAAAATACTTTAGAAAAATTATTAAATTTTGCAAAAAAATAATATAATTTATACAAAAAAATTAAATATTTGTAAAAACTTGCAT